TTTGGTCCAGACGCGATTATTAACCGCCGCCATATAGCTGGAATATTGCTGAGTTCGGCGTTAAACAACAAACAACAAAACAAACAAAAGAAGAAATGAAATCGAATTGTTTTGTAAATCTGATTAGCTCCAGGACACACGCACCCTTCATCGATACTAGGAGGTCGTAGTTTTCTCAGGGTTCTCCTGACAGAATTTTCTAAGATGGCCACGTGGAGTAAGGTTGTTGTCACGGTTAGATAAAATGACGACGATGATTCACGATAACGACGACGACGATGATGCGAGCAATGTTTATCACCATTCCCGTTACATTTCTGGATGCTTCGACATTTTGCAAAATGAGCATTGACTGTAAAAGTCATTCACCGACAGTCGAATCGAGGACGTGACAATCAGAATTATAACCATCCCACAGTTCGTTTTAGCTCAACGAAGATATAAATACCACACGTGTATTTCGGTCCGTTCCGTGCTTTGATCCATATTTTAGTTGCACCCTATTCTGAAAGAGGAACAGGTAGTTATAATCTATGGCTGAGAACTACAAAAATAGACCGTTGTTGACGCTCCGTCCGGACATAATGGTGGTCCATATCAACGATGTTAGAAATACTTTGCTGAGTCGATAGTCATGGCGGATTAATCGATGTACAACGACCCCATTTATCATCTTTTTGTGAGATAAAACACGCACACACATATGTATACATATACACACTCACGCACTCGCGCATGCGCAGTTATAAAATGCACTTGTGGTTATAACATGTTTATGCAGTAATTACATTTTAAAATCGCCAGGAAAAAACGTACCGGGTTAAGGGAATACAAACGCTTTGGTTGGGCTTAAAAAGTGTTTTTTGGTATGTGGAACAGTAAATAGTGTGGTAAACCCTAAGTGGTCCGACCCCCATTAATCCAGACACTCCGCTTACCGGTGGTTCGATTACCGCACGCGCCATACCATCAAACGTTAAAATATGGTACTTATTGTTACCTTGGCATTAAGCAGACTAACCAGGGATGCGCCGTTTCGTGGTCAGTCTTCTGTGCCTGAGTTCCTGACGGGAACGCGATAACGCGAAATGAGGAAGAGAGACGAAACGAGACAGCGATATTTGTATATTCCTTTCTTGTCTCGTGTTTCTAAATAAAGGCGAAAAGGCGATGTCCCTCTCAGCCACCGTGCTTTGGATTACTGGATTGTCTTGACCAGACTTGATTATTTACAGACCGCCACCACGGTTGTCTGTTGTCTTCAAGAAGGACGTCATCGCTTTCTGGCAGCTCCGTAAAATGTGCTATCGAGTATGCTTTAGTTGTGCCATTATGTTTCAAAAGTTAAGTATCTAGAGTGAGTGAGTGCGTGAGTTAAGTCTTACGCCGCTTTTAGCAATATTCCAGCAATATCACGGCGGGTGAAACCAGAAATGGGCTTCACAAATTGTACCTATTTGGGGACTCGAACCCGGGTCTTCGGTGTGAGGAGCGAACGCTTTAACCACTGGGTTACCCCACCGCCCCCAAGTATCTAGACATTTAACAAAACGCCTATAGACATCAACACGCATCAATCGACCGTGCATCCCTTTGACTCTGTTCCAGAAGGAAATTCTTCATTTGCTTTATACATAGTTAACATAAGTTGACATTAAGCCTTCAGCTAGCATATTGACCCATAGCACATACATGAAAGCTGGTCTCGCCAGCGGGTTCAAACATTCAAGCAGTTTTGTAATATCATTGCCTTTGCATTACCAACCCAGAAAACACACTGTAATGTGAGACCAGTTGCCGTAAACTATTGAATAAAAATGTATGACGCTTTGCTTTGAAGCTTTCTGATGGCTGTGAAAAATAGCTAGATTTATGGTCAGATTTCTAAGAACGTCGAGGCTGGATGATGTAACGAGCGCCATCACGAAACTGGAGTGAGTGAGTGAGTATGTTTTTACGCCGCTTTTAGCAACATTCCAGCAACATCACGGCGTGGGACACCAGAAATGGGCTTCACATATTGTACCCATGTGGGGAATAGAACCCGGGCTTTCGGTGTGAGGAGCGAATGCTTTAACCACTAGACTACCCCACCGCCCCTCACATAGCTGGACAAATTGCTGAATACTGCGTTCATGAAGCTAAAGCATGCGTTAGGCAGTCCAGACGCCGTATCTTGGTAAGGCTGGTTATCATTGTATCATTACTTGAACGGTTTCTTTCAATATACATCATTGGTTTATCTGGTCCAGAGTTGCCCCGATTTGACTGTTTCATTCACAGCTGAATATTGATGATATCATGTACTGTTTTAATGTGCTAGCCCACTGATGATATCATTCTGCCGTCGAAAATGTATACAGACACAGTATACTGACCACGTCTTTGTTTTGTTCCCTTAATGCCAGGCGGGGTAAAAATACCATCTGTTATACCTACTACCGCACAGAGTCGCAGTAATGCGGTTATTATTGAAATATTTTTGGAAGCTACCCGGTTATTGATGTATAGGAATAGAGTGACTAGAGAGACTGGTTCGACCCCTTTCGTGATGTTCAAAATCACATTTGTCTATTGCTAATTTATCTCAGGATCAATAGGGCGATGGGGTAGCCTAGTGGTTAAAGCGTTCGTTCGTCAATCCGAAGACCCGGGTTCCCCACACGGGTACAAAGTGTTAAGCCCAATTCTGGTGGAATATTGCTAAAATTACACTCACTCACTCCCTCACTCGGAGTTTGTTTGTTTGCGCCGATCTACATGGGAACCGATGACATCTGTCTACCCAGTCAGCGAGCCTGACCACCCTTCCATTAGTCGCCTCTTACGACAAGAGGGGGGAGTGGGGTAGCCCAGTGGTTAAAGCGTTTGCTCGTCACGCCGAAGGCCCGGGTTCGATTCCCCACATGGGCACAATGTGTGAAGCCCATTTCTGGTGTCCCCCACCGTGATATCGCTGGAATATTGCTAAAAGCGGCGTAAAACCAAACTCAGTCAGTCAGTCAGTCTTACGACAAGAATGGGTTGCTGAAGATCAATTCTAACCCGGATCTTCACGGGTGGATCAATGACAGGCTTGACGGATATGTACCTATAACAAGATGTGCATTTCAAATTCTCACTGCTGTTTATGTCGCGAATGCGTGCGTGCGTGTGTATATGCCCGAATAACTGTTCTCTTTTAACAGTACTCACCAATGCCTGGTAGATAGTGCAATACCACTTAGACCGCCCTCACATACAGTCTAGAGACTGAGTATAGCTGAATATTCAGAGTAAACCTTTGAACAACAGACAAAACAAAAGCACGAATACTGATAAGTAGACGACCAGACCACGCAAGCCGACGACAAAGATGACTCCCACACAACCTGATCACGAAAATGAGTGAACGGTTCTAACTCACAAGCCTTAATAATTAATAGTGTGAGTCCTTGTGTTGTCAGCGGGAATCCTATTTAAGCTGAATCAATCCACGGCACATAAATGTGAACTTTAACTGATATTACTTGCTCCAGGATATTGGTTTTTGTAATCAACTGAAATGATGTCTCATCACTTTCTTTGAACTACGAGTGAGTGAGTGAGTGAATTTAGTTTTGCACTGCTTTTAACAATATTCCAGCAATATCGGCAGGGGACACCAGAAATGGGTTTCACACATTGTACCCATGTGGGGAATCGAACCCGGGTCTTCGGCGTGACTAGCGAACGCTTTAACCACGAGGCTACCCCACCGCCCCTACTGAAATGCCAACCCGTGAAGGTCCGGGTTAGAATGAACCTTCAGTAACCCATGCTTGTCGTAAGAGGCGACTAACGGGATCGGGTGGTCAGGCTCGCTGGCTTGGTTGACACATGTAATCGGTTCCTATTTGCGGAGATCGATGCTCATGCTGTTGATCACTGGATTTTCTGGTCAAGACTCGATTATTTACAGACCGCCGCCATATAGCTGGGATATTGCTGAGAGCAGCGTAAAACTAAACTCACTCACTGACATTCCAACTCACTCACTCTGAGACTAAACACTTGATGCATTCGCCTACCCACCCACTCACTCACTCAGAAACTAAAACCCTGAAGAGCCTGGCAACAACCAGACACGTAACGCCCTAATAGCTTATCAGTATCGACACCGTGATCGGAACGCCTGTAGCCTCTGTATAAACAAAGAAGGTTTTTCAAACACTTCTCAAAGACGAGATGGAACTAAGCAGGGAATTGATACGTTAATGACAACAGGTTGTCTGGGAGTTAATTAAATGCTGCAATGCCTGACTCCCACTGTCTTCACAAGGAACCAGCCCCGTTGGCCTGCAACACAATCTCACCTGTACAACGTGAGGGAAAGTGGTTGTTACAATCGATACCTGTAGCTGGCATTCAATATTTACACTGTATGATGATATTCAGTCACGATTGGGTCTTTAGGCTGTCAATAATTACATGCACGTTGATATGAGTTGAAATGTTTTAAATGTTGTAACGGTATATCACTTTACAGATGCCAGATTTTAATACTGCACAAAAATAGATAGAGATCTTGAAGATACGGGAGAACAGATATACGGGCACATACAAACGCACGCACGCACTCACTCATTCACGCACGCACGCACGCACGCACGCACACCTACGCACGCTCGAGTATGCGACATAAACATCAGTGAGAATTTGAAATACACATCTTGTTATAGGTATATATCCGTCAAGCCTGTTATTGATCCACCCGTGAAGATCCGGTTAGAATTGCTTTTCAGTAACCCATGCTTGACAGGTCAGGCTCGCTGACTTGATTGACACATGTCATCGTATCCCAATTGCGAGAGCAATGTTCATAATTTTGATCATTGGTTTGTCTGGTCCAGACTCGATTATTTCCAGACAGCCGCCATATATCTGTAATATTGCAGAGTGTGACCTTAAACAAACCAATCTAATAATCACTGATTATCTCTAGCATTCATAATATTTACATACCACGTCCTTTTTTTCAGGTTATAAATATGGCGGGAAAATGGAGTAAGTACACGCACGTGCTTCTAATGGTAGCGGTCTGGTCGTCTGCTGTCGTCTCCGAAAACACCAGTGGTAAGTTGCAGAAATATGATTGTTTGTGTCCTACTTCATGTTTAAGTGGTTCAAGCGTTCGCTCGTCACGCTGAAGACCCGGGTTCGATTCCCCACATGGGTACAATGTGTGAAGCCCATTTCTGGTGTCCCCCACCGTGATATTGCTGGAATATTGCTAGAAGCGGCGTAAAACTAAACTCACTCACTCACTCATGTTTAAGACTTTCAACCATGTTCAGGCATTGATGGAGTAGCTGTCGAGTTTTGTCCCTTTGTTGAACGGATCCTCTGTCCTTAGTATGAATCCCAGTAGATGGCGTTTAGCTCATAGAGTGAAACCTCGTTAATCCGGATGTCCCCTTCTTAGTGACTCTATCCGTTACTCAACTGTACGGACCAATGAATGAGGACAATTTTTGAATGTATATACAATCTCTTTATTCTGTAAAATCGACGTAAAGACCAAAGTTGCCATGGTTACACAAGAGTGACTGAGTAAGTGAGTGACAGAGTGAGTGAGTATGTTATTGTACTTATTGCTTAGATCGATGCTCATGATGTTAATCACTGGATGGCTGAGTGGGTTAGATCGCTGACTTTGTGTGAGGCGATTAGGTGACTGAGAACGAGGGTTCGAATCCCGGATGGGACTAAATCTAACAAAAGTACTAGAATCAGTACTTTACTGATACAGTGTAATCCCAAATATAACATATGTGACATTTGACAAATTTTTAAATGGCATTGTGTATTCACTGGACTGTCTGATCCAGATTAGATTATTTACAATCTGTCGTGATGTAGTTGGAATTTTGTACGGAGTACGGTGTTAGACAACAACAAAATAAACCAATATTTCGACGCTGCTATCACGATCGTCAAGTTCCGCCAATGCTAACGAGATTACACTGGTTCAATTTTAGATTCCGAAATAGAACATTCGAGTCTGCAGAGACTTCATATTTCTGAATTATATAACGTCGATGCGTCGATTGCACTTAGGATCCACACAATTTTAAAGGGCTTTACAAATTGTGGAAATGATTAAAGTCAGCTAAAGTGAAGATTATCACGTGGAGGGTTTGGCAAGAAATGTCGTGTAACCCCGTATTTAACAGGCTCGTCACGCCAAAGACCCGGGTTCGATTCCCAACATGGGTACAATTTGTGAAGCCCATTTCTGGTGAGCCCCTCCGTGATATTGCTGGAATATTGCTACAAGCGGCGTAAAACTAAACTCATTCACTCACCCCTTATATAAGTTACAAAAATACTTGTCGCCATATTGTTCACAATTACGTCATGGACATACATTTCTTTTTCCACTTCGAGTAGATTCTCTCGTTCTGTTACGTTTCAATTATAAATAACTGGTGATAACAACATAATTGTTGTATAAGCATGATTTATATCACGTATAAAACATATGTATAGAAAGTGTGGTAATCATAATCCATAAAGGCACGTGCAAGAAGTCGGATAAAAGCGTCGGCGGGAACCACGTCACGTGGCCATGCCATCCTCCAGCTTGACCGCTGTTCATTCAATTCCCCACCCACCCTTGTCACAGATTTAGCCATTATATATTTCTGTAAATGATAGTCATATAAAATAATGGTTAGTTTAGGCACAGCAAACATTTCACTTCTCAAATGTGACTAAACAGAGTTAGTTACTAAAGTGCCTTTGTAAGATACGATGGGAACTATTTTTTTAGCTAACCTGGTTTCTCATCGTTACCGGCACACTGGCGCAAAGGCTGTCTGTAAAACATATACACACGGAAATGAATTACGCAACACCCGTATTTTTTCAGACTGAGCAACTTTAATGAACTGCTGCATAAAACGTGTCAAGATTAGTACACCATATTAATGTTGTAGTGAAAAGAACGGGTTGAGGAGAAACATAGCCAATATTACGTAGAGGGTAATGTCCGAGTAACTCCGAGGCACATTATTTTTAAGGAATGGAGAGTTACGAGGATATTACCCTACTTAAATTACATTCGAAGTATTGGGAATATTTCTGTTATCAAAATTAAATGTCAAAATGACAAAATGAAGGTTTTATTTTGAAACTGGTACACATCGCTCCATTCCTGAAAAGTAATGGAGCAAACAGACAATGGAATGACGTCACAAATGTAATTTAACATGGCATAATCTAGTTTATTTGAAGATGGTACAGATTTGGAAAATGACGTCATTTCATGCAGAACATTACGAATTTCACTTTTCTTGCACGTGCATTGAATATCTCCACAAACAAATCATGCTGTACGGCAAGAAGCAAAATGTTATTATAAATCATTCAGAAAAATGCCATGTTACTTAATTCACAGAATTATAGAGCTATGAATTGCGTGTTGCTTAACTAATTTCCATGAGTATATATATATCAATGACGATCTGATTCTGTGCTGTTAGTTTGTCATATTTGTCCGTGCAAACCATGCATATGCCCTTTCATGTACATTGAATAACGCCCACACGCACGTTGTTACCTAGCAACAACTGTTAATCTGGCTCATGTTTAACACCTAGTAGTGTGCCAATAGCCAATTATAGACAATAGACGGTTGTCTATTTGACACGTAAGAAAAAACATCTGCTTTGGATGATTTATTTACCGGTAGGCGAGGGATGACACTGCTACAAAGAGGCGTACATCAGACCGTATTACCCTCGAGAGAAGCATACAACGTATTTATCTTACCGCCATGTTAAATGTTATTTTATGTTAAAGATCGCTACCAACTATATGACATGCAAACAAAATGGCGTCTGCCTCTCGACTGGATTTTTAACATCAGTGAAACATATTTTGACAGGCATAAAACGGCTATAAATTGTTAATTATGTTTAAGCTGAGAGTGCAAACCATTTAATGTATAAAATAGCTTAAATAAAGCAGTGAAAGTCGGTAAAATAAATCTGTACAAAGTGGAAACAAAAACAACTGTTCGAACGGGTTTCGAACTCCGGGCACGGCATACGTCATATTATGACGTCATAAGATTGTTATCGCTTCAGCTTCTCGGGGGAGAGCTTGGCGGTTACCGTGGCAGCGGGTAATATTTTTTCCAGTTGTCACCCTCCTAGGAGGGTGACACGGTAACTTGTTGAACCTTCATTGACCAATGAAATTAAAGTACTTTACATGACGGTAAGATAATGTGTAAAACCCATTTCTGGTGTCCCCCGCCGTGATATTGCTAAAAGCGGCGTAAAAACATACTTACTCACTCACTCCACGGTTCATCCATTAGCAATCAACCTGCCACATTATATGCGTCACAAATTTGTTCCATGGTCCCGTTTCTTTAATAACTGTGGTATAACTTGGCGTACCGTGTTAGTTCTGAGACTTGGGGTGTGAATACGAAAATTAACGTTGAAGGCGGGATTTGGTAAATGTCATTTTTTCACATGCATTGAATGTGCTAGAAGATTAATACTAGAAAACAGGCTATAGCATTAGCACCTACAGCCAGTGGATCCTGTCGTGCCAAAAGGCGACGATCCTGTAAAACATTGATCAAAGCCACTTAGTTTTACAAAGTAGCTTTGATTTGTGGTAATACCCAACCCTTACCACTGCTCACGCAGATTTGAGGACCTCCCATTGCCGGCCACATCAAAGCAACCTTTGACCGATCGACCTTTGACCGACCAGTGAATTGACTTTGAAGAAGTGGAAATTAGCCAATCAGAAAGCAGCCTTCTCGAGCTATACGTTTCAAACCAGTGACTTCAATTCAAGAATACCCTTTGAAACATATCAATTCAAATTTTGGAAGCTCCACAAAACAAAATTTGGGAATCGATTTTTGAGATTGTATCGGTGGCCCTGAGTGAAATGTGTTTAGATTTCCTTTAGCAATAGCGAAAACTAAGATCTGATTTTACTGAGACTGCAGCACTCTTTAATTAGGTTATCACAATTTAAAAAACAAACAAAGTCCATGAAAATACGAACAGCAACGAATCTATATTAATTGGTTGGTTAGTTTATTGTTTAACTCAGCACTCAACAATATTTCAGATATATGGCGACTGTCTGTAAATTATCGAATCTGGACCAGACAATCCAGTGATCGATGAGGATCGATAATTGTGATTCGGTGACAAGTGTGAACCAAGTCAGCAAGCGTGACCATGCGATCATATTAGTCGCCTCTTAAGGTGTATACTGAAGACCCTTTAAATTGATATAATATAATATATATGTATTGATATTAAGGTTGGGACGGGTCCGAATTTTCTACCCGGGTACCCCACCCCCTACTACCCTACACTACCCGGATACCCGTTATGTAAATTCCTGACATCAGGTTTGCAAAAAATGGCAATATATTCTTCCGCTCGGAGGCTAAAATTTCGAGTTTTTCAATATCTTAACCATGTATTATATGATAAAAAGTGACTGTAATTATGTCTAAATCTTGAAAGACAATACAACCTTTTAATCATGAAAGAATAACATATTAAATTGCTTTATTTATTAGTCAACATGATCATAACGGGTCCGGGTATTGAGACGGGTATCCGGGTCCAACTCATTACCCACCCGTCCCGGGTATCCGGGTTACCCGTCTCAGCCCTAATTAATATATACATGGCTTTACAGCTGCGATACGTTTATTCACCTCATACAGGTTTAAGTGGGACAGGCTGTGTCTTCCCTCTTCCCTGTTGATACGACATTAGATCGATTGTCCATGACACGTCATGAGAAGCATCTGCGGTTAAGTTCTCGCGTTAACATATTTTAATTAAATTTGATTCCGTAAAGTGAATTTCAGCCTCCGTTTTTCTTTCCCCTGTCTTCCTGCATAGCGTCGAAACGTTTTTAAAGGATGACGGTATTATCGCTAAATAACAATTATTCAAATGAACACGTGTAATTTGTGTGTCTGGTTTTACGCTGCTTTTAGCAAAATTCCAGAATTGGGTTTCACACATTAAATTCATGTAAGGAATCGAACCCGGGTCTTCAACGTGACGAGTGAGTGA